CCCCAAAACCCCAAAACCCCAAAACCCCTAATGCTTTATTATTAAGATTAGAAAAAATGATAAAATTGTTTGATTAATAATATCATTTTGATGTAATTAAATAAAATATAAGTAAAAAGATGAGCTTTAAATAAAATCAAAAAGTGATTAATAACTTCATCTATAATCCAGAAAGTAGCAAGACTGCATAAAATGCCCATTTAGGTTGGCTTTAGAGAATTCAAAAAGAAAAATCTGGATTTACTCAATCCGTAGTTCGAGGGTTTCAGTAAGGATATATTGATGAAACAATATTTATAACGTAATGAATTGATGATAAACACTAGAAAAAAGCATAAAGTATGAGAAGATCCTGCATGGACATATAAGATGATGGATCAAAGCAGTCTTATTGAGAAGCTTATGAGTTATTTCAGCAAAGTTCACCATATGATAGAAATACACTCTTTATGAGAAGCATAGAAGCTGATGCTTATCATTAAAATAGAGAAGCTTCACCAGAGGATAATTCACACTAATATTATAATAATCAGAGATATAAGTGAAAACAGGGTGATCCACTTTCAACAATGTTTAGCATCTCTCCTAAGAATTTGAAGGAAACTATTACCACGATCAAATAAAAGCATAGAGGTACCATTAGTGAAACTTTGAGAAATGACTCAATGGAAGATTAGAGTAGTGTCGACAGAAAAAAAACAGTCCAGCTGAAGAACAGGCTTAAATACTAATACAAAAAGTTCCTTAAAAATAGATATATCTAGGCTTAAGAAGCCATTAATAATTCAGCTGAGAGATATAAAGTAGCCACTCTTGATATGTCACTCCCTGAAATTAATTACTCAGATAAGAAGAAAGGGATATTCAAATAAAAACAATCTTTAAATGGAGTAGACGCGGCTTATTCTCGCATGACTTTGCTTAATAAGGAGGGTTTGATTAAAAATGACAGTTTAGTAAGAGATTAGAATAAAACAACACTCAATTAGGATATGATACCTTAGGATATAAACAGCCAACCCAAGATTTTAGTAGATGACATCATAGATTATAAAAGAAATTTGAACCTTTCAAACGAGACTTATGTAGTTCCTCATAGGTAGAAGCGACTTTTTACCAATAGAAATATGAGAGATGACTAAATATACCAAACAATATCGCCAGTTTCAAATGATTCCAAATTAAACGAAAGAACGAGAGACAAATTAGATGAAATTAATTCTGTTTATGGCCTTAGTTAATTTCAGTAGAAGTAAGTTATAAAAAAACAGTAGGAGATTACCTAGATTATTAAGGAGAAACAAGAGAAGTTACAGAATTTGAATAGATTAAATAGATCTAGAGCGTCAACGAATTCGAGTATTCAAAGAGAGTTAATTCATAGGAATTTGATTATTAATGCTAATTCAAAGCTTAGTTGATATTTTATAAACATAAAAATCTATCTAGATAAATTAATACATTTGACATTTATTTCTTTAAAACCTTAAAAATCAGTTTTATATATTGGACGGGGTTTTGGGGTTTTGGGG